GCTGTAACAGCACTGTGGAAAGCGAGATCTTTCTCAGCTTCCTACAGAGCTGGAAGCAGGACAGTTGATGGCTTGTCTCCAATTGAAGGATGGAGATAGTGCTTTGTGCCTTCCACCTCTGGAGCAATGGAGGTCATGGCTGAGAGCAAAGGGCCCTTTCTGACATAGGTGCACTCTGACACTCTCAGCACCAGTGCACAATGGCGGTTTGTAAAAAGCCTATTGTCTGCTCCTGCTAAGCATGTGGAAGCAGAATCATCTGGGCCTCGTGCCCGTTGCTGAAGGGGAAGATGTAGGCATTTTGTCTGAGCCAGGTTGCCAAGGTGGAAATGTGCAGGATGCAGAAGTCCCAGACTGGGGTGTGAAGTGATGAAGGAAACGGTGTTCAGCCTCCTTTGTATGAGATGTTCCCAGGACGCTGTAAGGGCACTGTGGAAAGGGAGTTTTTTCTCAGCTTCCTACAGAGCTGGAAGCAGGACAAGATGTTGTTTGTCTCCTATTGAGGGGTGGATCCAGAGCCAGTGCCTTGTGCCTTCCACCTGTAGAGCAATGAAGGGCACGGCTGTGAGCAAAGGGGCCTTTCTGACATAGCTTCTTTACGAAAATCTCTCCAGCAGTGCACATTGGTGGTTGGAAAAAGGCGTGCAGTCTATCGCCTCCTAAGCACGTGGACGCTCAATCATTTGGGACTCAGCCCAGTTGCTTCAGGGGAAGATGTAGGCATTTCGTCTGAGCCGGATTGGCAAGGTGGAATGGCGGCAGAAGCAGAAGTCCTAAAGCTGCGAGTTAAGCACTGGGAAGAAATGGCGTTTGAGCTGCCTTTGTATGAGAGGTACCTGGTATGCTGTAAGGGGACTGTGGAAAGCGAGTTGTTCGTCAGCTTCCTAAAGAGCTGGAGGCAAGACAATATATGGCTTGTCTCCCATTGAAGGATGGAGGCAGTGCTTTGTGCCTTCCACCTGCAGAGCAATGGAGGGCACAGCTGAGAGCCAAGGGGGCTTTCTGCCATAGGTGCTTTCTGATCCCCTTCAGGGGTGGTGCCAGTGCCTTGTGCCTCCTACCTCTAGAGGAATGGAGGGCACGGCCGAGAGTAAAGGGCCTTTCCGACATTGGTGCCTTCTGACACTCCCCAAACCACTGCTCAAGGTCGGTTGGTTAAAAGCCCATTGTCTGTCTCCTCCTCAGCATGTGGAACCACAATCATCCGGGCGTCGTCCCCATTGCTCAAGGGGAAGATGTAGGCATTTTGTCTGAGCCGGGTTGGCAAGATGGAAATGTGGCAGAAGCGGATGTTGCAGATTGGTGAGTTAAGGGCTGAAATGACACGGCGTTAAGTTGTCTTTGTATGTGATGTTCCCAGGATGCTGTAAGAGCACTGTGAAATGCGAGTGCCTTCCCAGCTTCCTAAAGAGCTGGAAGGAGGACAGTTTATTGCTTTTCTCCAATTGAAGGATGGAGGCAGTGCTTTGTGCCTTCCACCTCTAGAGCAATGGAGGGCACGTCTGAGATGAAAGGGACCTTTCTGACATAGGTGCATTGTGACACCCTCTGCACCAGTGCACAATGGCAGTTTGTAAAAAGCCTATTGTCTCCTCTTGCTAAACATGTGGAGGCACAATCATCTGGGCCTCGTTCCCGTTGCTGAAGGGGAAGATGTAGGCATTTTGTCTGAGCCGGGTTGGCAAGGTGTAAATCTGGCAAGCAGAAGTTCTAAATCAGCGAGTTAAGCGCTGAAAAGAAACGGCATATCAGCAGCCTTTGTATGAGATGTTGCCAGGACACAGAAAGAGCACTGGTGAAAGCGAGTTCTTTCTCAGCTTCCTAAAGAGATGGAAGGAAGATGGCCTGTGGGTTGTGGAACTTTGAGGGGTAGAGCCAGTGCATTGTGCATTCCACGTCTAGAGCAATGGAGGGCAGAGCTGAGAGCAAAGGGGTCTTTCTGACACAGCTGCTTTCCAACACTCTCTCCACCAGTGCACAATGGAGGTTGGAAAAAGGCGTGCAGTCTATCACCTCCTAAGCACGTGGACGCTCAATCATTTTGGACACAGCCCAGTTGCTTCAGGGGAAGATGTAGGCATTTCGTCTCACCGGGTTGGCAAGGTGGAATTGCGGCAGAAGCAGAAGTCCTAAAGCGGCGAGTTAAGCACTGGTAAGAAATGGCGTTTGAGCTGCATTTGTATGAGTGTTTCCTCATATGCTTAAACAGCACTGTGGAAAGCGAGTTCTTTCTCAGCTTCCTAAAGAGCTGGAAGCAAGACAGTTTATGGCTTGTTTCGCATTGAAGGATTGAGGCAGTCCTTTGTGCCTTCCAGCTCTAGAGCAATGGAGGGCATGGCTGAGAGCAAAGGGGTCTTTCTGCCATTGGTGCTTTCTGACACTCTCTCAACCATTGCACTTGGTGGTTAGTTAAAAGCCTATTGTCTCTCTCCTCCTCAGCATGTGGAACCACAATCATCCGGGCCTCGTCCCAATTGCTCAAGGGGAATCTGTAGGCATTTCGTCTGAGCCGGGTTGGCAAGGTGGAATTGTGGCAGAAGCAGAAGTTCTAAAGTGGCGAGCTAAGGCCTGGCAAGAAAGGCCGTTTGACCTTCATTTGTATGACAGTTTCCCCATAGGATTTTCCCAGGAGCCGAGCAGGTGTTTCTGGCATTCTCGGCAGGATGTTCGTGCGTGTCCGGCCGGTGGCTCCAGTCTGTCCAGGATGTGGTTCCGGCGTGTCTGGCACGTGCTTCTGGTACGTCTCAGAGTTGGTTCCGGCATGCCCGGCCGGTGATCCCGGAGAGTCCTCCAAGTGATTCTGGCATTACCGGCAGGTGATTTTGGCGTGTTCGGCTGGTGGTTCCAGCCTGGTCGGCAGGTGGTTCTGGCGTGTCCGGCACTTGGTTCTGGCACGTCTGAGACATGGTTCCGGCATGCCCACCAGGTGATCCCGGAGAGTCCGACAAGTGGTTCAGGCCTAGCAGGCAGGTGATTTTGGCGTGTCCGGCAGTTGTTTCTGGCGAGTCGAGCAGGTGGCTCCGGCATGCTCGGCAGGTGCTTGCGGCGTCTCCGGCACGTGGTTCTGGTGTGTCTGAGAGCTGGTTCCCGCATGTCCGGCAGATGATTCCGGAGTGTCCGCCAAGTGGTTCTGGCATACCCGGCAGGTGATTTTGGTGTGTCAGGTCGGTGGTTCCGGCGAGTCGATCAGGTGGTTCCGGCGTGCTCGGCAGGTGGTTCAGGCGGGTCTGCCAGGTGGTTCCCGTCTGTTCAGGGTGTGGATCCGGCATCTCATGCACATGGTTCTGGCACATCTGAGATGTGGTTCCGGCCGGCCCGACAGGTGTTTCCGCAGTGTCCGCCAAGCGGTTCTGGCGTAGTTGGCAGGTGATTTTGGCATGACCGGCAGGTGGTTCCAGCAAGCCCGGCAGGTGATTCCGAAGTGTTCACCAACTGGTTGGGGCGTAGCCGTCTGGTGACTTTTGCGTGTCCGGCAGGTGGTTCTGGCGAGTCGAGCAGGTGGTTCCGGTGTGCTCGGCAGGTGCTTCCGGGGTCACTGGCATATTGTTCTGGCATGTCTGAGAGGTGGTTCCGGCATGCCCGGCAGGTGATTCCGGAGTGTTCGCCAAGTGGTTCTGGCATAGCTGGCAGGTGATTTTGCATGTCCGGCGGTGGTTCCGGCGGGTCGAGCCGGTGGTTCTGGCGTGTCCGGCAGGTGGTTGCGGTCTGTCCGGCAGGTGGTTCTGGGGTGTCCGGCACGAGGTTCTGGCACGTTTGAGAGGCTGTGCCGGCATGCCCCTCACGTGATTCCGGCTTGTCCCCCAAGTGGTTCTGGTGTAGCTGGCAGGCAATTTGGGCATGTCCTGCAGGTGGGACCGGTGAGTCAAGCAGGTGGTTCCGGGGAGTGTTTCCTGTGGATCCGGTCTGTCCGGGAGATGGTTCCGGCCTGTCCGGCACGTGCTTCTGGCACTTCTGAGAGGTTGTGCTGGCATGCCCGGCAGGTGGTTCCGGAGTGTCCTCCAAGTGGTTCTGGCGTAGCCGTCAGGTGATTTTGCCATGTCCGGCATGTGGTTGCAGCGAGTCGAGCATGTGTTTCCGGCGTCCTCGACAGTTGGTTCAGGCACGTCCGGCAGGTTGTTCCGGTCTGTCCTGGAGTTGGTTCCGGCGTGTCCGGCACGTGGTTCAGGCGAGTTGAGCAGGTGGTTTTGACGTGCTCGGCAGGTGCTTCCGGCGTCTCCGGCACGTGTTTCTGGCACATCTGACAGGTGGTTCCGGCCTGCCCGAAAGGTGATTCCCGTCTTTCCGGTAGGCGGTTCCGGCGTGCACAGCTCGTGGTTCTGGTACATCTCAGAGGTGGTTGCGCATGCCCAACAGGTGATGCCGGAGTGTCGGGTAGTGGTTCTGGTGTAGCCGGCAGTTCATTTTGGCGTGTCCGGCACGTGGGTCCTGCGAGTCGAGCAGGTGGTTCCGGCGTGCTCGGCAGGTGGTCCAGGCGTGTCCAGCAGGTGGTTCCAGTCTGTCCAGGACGTGCTTCTAGCGTGTCTGGCACGTGGTTCTGTTACGTCTGAGTGGTGGTTCCTGCATGCCCGGCAGGTGATTCCGGACTGTCCGCCAGGTGGGTCCC